TGTATAAAACCCTCCCCTATAAAACCCTCTCCTATCCATGTGTTTAGAACCTTAAATGATAACTAACAAAGTCGACACGGATCTCTAAAAAAATTATCACATAGTTGTGAAACTTGACTTTTTTATAGATCGGTATTAATTTTAATGGTGATCTTTTTGAGACCATACACATGGATGAAGAAAGATCTTGTAGGATTATTTTTTATTTATATATATATATATAAAGAGAGTGTGTGCACACGTGCTTGTGTGACCCTTTTTATCATATTCACCCTTTACACTTGGGTGATATATAAAGATATATATAGTGTGTGCGCGTGCGTGTGTGACGCTTTTTATCATACTCACCCATTACGCTTGGGTGGACAATAACTTTAACAGTAATTGTACCACCGAGTACATTTTACATATTACATTTTTTTTTTTTGGAAGATATTAAAATAGAACCTCAAAAATAGTCAATTTACTTATTAAAAAGATGATTACTTTAACAAGATAATCTCACTCATGTACCACCCGATACACTTTATTAAACAAAGTCCAACATGGCCCTTTTATTAAAGGTTCGGAATAAAGTACAAGCAAGGGTACTTTGATAATTTGAAACACCAGATAAGTACAGTTAAGATACCAAAATGCAAACCAAAAAACAAGAGATTACAATGGAGAAATACATTTCGGGAACAAGTAGTAGGTTGATAAACTTAATTCGAGTGAAGTTAATGTAAAGACAAAGGTTTCTATACTTCTCATACAGCATAGAAGATCTATACTTCCCCTTTCTTCCAGCCATCCAATTTTGATCAAAAAAGGCACTCACCGTTTGATCTTAGATCCAACGTCTTAAAATATTTTATTTTTAATTTTTTTATACAAATTGTATAAACATGAAATTTGATAAATGCCATCTTCTCATTGGCGCGCACCTATAAAAATATTAAAAATAATTTTTTGATAAAAAAATTAATGACCAAAATACCCCTTAAAAATTTCAGGGGTATTTGGTCATTTTATTTTACTGAATTTTTTTTTTTTTTTTGTATTTTTTGTTAATGCGAATTTAATGGAAGATAGGATATACAAAATTTTGTGTTAAAATAATTTGTAGAAAAAATATTAAAAATAAAATAGTGTAGAGACGTGACATTGTGATTGGAACAATCTTAGCCCTCCATTCAGAATGGAGGGTTGGATAAAAGAAAGTATATAAATTTTATGTTGTAGGGGAAGCATAAAAAGCTGCCCTAATGTAAAAGATGCCTTGGATTTAAAACAACCACCACTTAAGAGGAGGGTATTTGTCTCATTTGGCTTGGAGGGGGGGGGGGGGGGGTACTTGTTCAAGATTTCAAATCTGGAATATAGGAGGGTTTTAGGCACTGGTTTAACAAAATATTTACGCAGGTATTTGAATATATAATCTCTTGAAAAAGAGTGTGACCGGACCTCCTCACTAATTTTTTAAGGTAATTTGACCATTTTAATGATATTACCTCTTTGAAGGCCAAGAAGTACACTAATAATATAAAGGCCAATGGAAAAAATAGTCCCTTGGTTTATCACTAGCCATTAAGGTGATGGATAGTGATAGAGAGTGTGGGGCCCACACTATTCATCAGGAACGTCACAATGGAAGGTCACAAATAAATCAATTCTTCATCAGTACAACCAAGAATAATAATACAAGCGTATAGCCTCACAAGACTTCACATTTAGAGAGGCCTTTTAAGATTTAGAAAAAAAAAAAAAGAACGAAAAGAAACAAAAGCACCAAAACAATCCTCTAGAAGGAAAGCAAGACACGAAAAGAAAGATTAGAGAATCCCATTTGGGGTGGTCAGTACGCACCTCGATTCCACTCCATAGAAAAGGAACCCATGATGTATGCTTATATTCTCAGGCATCTAATTCTATTTTGAAGTTTTGGTGTATATATATATTACTCTCTCTCTCTCTCTCTCTCTATATATATATATATATATATATATATAATTTGGCCTATTTTCCAAAGTTAATAATTTGGGCAAGTATTGCTATAATAACAAACATGGGATTTATTAACTATGCTGGAGCAGCAAAAACAAATTTAAAGGATTCGATTAAAATCAAAACTGACACTGGATTACGATTATTTTGAGATGTATTGAATGAAATCGGTGGCCATCAGTAAAGGTGTTTTGATGCCTAAATTATCACATGTAAAATTTGGAATCATGAGGCACTGTGCATAAGCATCAGCAAAAGAAAGCGCTCGGCTCATTATCTTTAATCTGCACTAGTAAAACATATTAACAACCCAGTATTTGAAGCTTATGGCGGACATTTTAATTTTTCATTATTGATCTTCCCTATTTTTCCAAGTTAAATAATACTACTTCCCATCCAGCCAGCATGTTTAAGAAGTTGAATGGCTCTCCTATTATTATTATTGTTATTATTATTGTTCGCGTACTTCTACACAAAGTTTTTTCTTAATGTGTTCAACATTTTTTTGACACTTACTACCTTGCTTTACAATATAAAATCGTTCGAGTTGGGGAATTTTTATCATTAAGAAGGGTAGAAGAAACATTTCTATAAAAAACTAGTAGCATTCTATTGATGGTTAAAGAGCAAATGATGCTCCATGGGATGGTGTAACACATCATGTGATGTCATTCTCCACCACAATTATAAATTTTTTTCTTTCTTTAAAAATTTATATTTTGTCTTTGCTTAAATTGCCTAAAATACCCCTAAACAAAAAAATTACTACATTACATTATGTGTAAGGGTATCAAAAATATTGAATACATTAAGGAAATACTTCAGACGGATACCCTAACAAAACCCTGTTACTATTATTTTCTTTTTTTCTAATCGATGTTGGAGAGCATAGTGAGGGTCAAAATAAATCCCCTACATGGATTGTTAAATAATTTGGGCTAATATAAAGACATCATCAAGTATTCAAATACTCAGCAAATAATTCAGAAGTAGCTGTTTTAATGTATTCACAAGTAAGTTCAGACCTATTCCAAAGAATACTGCATTTTTTACATTACACCGCTTTTCTCATCTGAAAAGAATTTACTCTCATCTGGTAAGAATATTTAAGGCTTTTGAATAGTGGCGGTACTCTCAACTGATAAAGATTATTTAAGAAGGATAGCAGATGAGTGGAACTTCATATTGACCCATTGTCTCGGCATTTCAGAGCCCAAAGTTATGCTCTCTCCACTACAGCCTCACATTTCAATGCATGGAGACCATGAAACAACAAACAAATCTGCAAGTTTCAGGGGAGAAATATGGAACACTGTGTTAGGTTTTGAGTAATTTAGTATGACTAACGAATTGTGGGTATATATTTGAGGCTTTACTAGTGGTATAGTGAGGCCTAAAAACATGTTATTCGCACAACAAAAATTATAAAAAGATGTATGAAATGCTTAAGATAAGTAAATATGCTGCCCATAATGCACTTAATCCTAGAAAGAGAGATTGATTCTGCTGTGTAGAGTTCGTTCCATGCAATCAGAGCATCAATCAACAGCACAAGCAGTTCCTATTCAGGCAAGTACAGATGTCAACCACTTCTAATTTAGTCAAATAAAGTACATTGACAACAATAATATAGATCACAAGATGAGAATCATATGAAGCACTTGTAATTCCACTTATCAACTGGTCATTCATAACTACCAGCAACAATCTGTAGCGAAATACGAGGATGCCTACAGTTGTTACACAACTAAAAAGTGGTCAACTTCCTGGGAAAAATACAAGGGAGGAGGGATTTGGGCTCCTTTGCTTAGCTAGGATGTAAGGGTTACAGCACAACTTTTAAAGTTTCAATCCCAGCGAACATGATACCATACAGATAAATTGAAAATCACATGATTTGTCTCCTAGATCATTCATTAATCTGTTTGTTCCATGTACACAACATTATTTGGCCATACATATCATGACCAAGTACTTTTTATGCTCATTTGCATTTTGCAGTTGTAATGAGCCTCCCATAGAGTTTATGTAGGCATGTGCAGCAAACTTGATGCTTCACAAAGGTTATCGTTAAAAAGAAGACACCAAAGCCT